CTTACTTACTTACTTACTTACTTACTTACTTACTTACTTACTTACTTACTTACTTACTTACTTACTTACTTACTTACTTACTTACTTACTTACTTACTTACTTACTTACTTACTTACTTACTTACTTACTTACTTACTTACTTACTTACTTACTTACTTACTTACTTACTTACTTACTTACTTACTTACTTACTTACTTACTTACTTACTTACTTACTTACTTACTTACTTACTTACTTACTTACTTACTTACTTACTTACTTACTTACTTACTTACTTACTTACTTACTTACTTACTTACTTACTTACTTACTTACTTACTTACTTACTTACTTACTTACTTACTTACTTACTTACTTACTTACTTACTTACTTACTTACTTACTTACTTACTTACTTACTTACTTACTTACTTACTTACTTACTTACTTACTTACTTACTTACTTACTTACTTACTTACTTACTTACTTACTTACTTACTTACTTACTTACTTACTTACTTACTTACTTACTTACGCCTGTTAGTCCTCATGGAAGAGCATAGACCGCCCGCCAGCACTCTCCATCCAACCCAGTCCCAAGCAAGCCTTTCCAGCTCTTTCCAGTTGTTATTCATCCTTTTCATATCTGCTTCTATTTCCGAAAGTAATGTGTTCTTTGGTCTTCCTTTTTCCGCTTTCCTTCAGGATTCGAAGGTAGGGCTTGCTTCATGATGCAGTTTGATGATTTCCATAATGTATGTCCTATCCATTTCCATCGTCTTTTCCTAGTTTCTTCTTCATCTGGAAGTTGGTTTGTTCTCTCCCACAGAATTGTGTTGCTGATAGTATCCGACCAATGGATATTGAGTATCTTGCATAGACAGCTATTGTGATAAATTTAAGGTGTCATTAAATAGGTTTTTATGAAGATTGTTTTGACTTAAATGTGGTATTCATCACAGATTATTCTTAATTGGGGGTACTATTTAAGACCAAGGAATATTGAACAGTTGTTTCCTTAGTTAATATGAAACTATTCATCAGTACACACCTACCAGTCTAAGCTGACGTTTAAATTTATTCATGTTTATAAGATATATACTTGTTTAAGTATGAGAAACGCTGTGATCAGTTATCAACTGAATGATATAAAATTCTAATTAACTTGTCTCGTTTCATGTTTAGGTAATCACTAACAAATAAACCCATTCACGATACACAAGCACATCTGCAAACATTTATTTATGTCTGATTGAAAGAAAAAAGGATCTACCACATTGTACCTATAAAAATTGTTGCTCTGATTGTTGGAACCACCTCGTGATTTCCGAAGAATCTCAGCTTTCATCATGTGATGTCATAATTCTTCCTTCAATTCTCAAGGAAGAGTTTACATAGTTTAATTTGTTTAATCCGGTTGACAGTTGTTTTTTTTTATAGCATGGTTGTTTTCTGTTGGGTTGGGGTTTGCCGACTTCACACCCAACTTTCCTTCTTTACTCGGGGCTTGAGATCAGCAGTAACTTTAGAAGAGCTACAGGTTGAATTTTTTTAAAAAGATAGAACTATACAAACTTTGTTATTGAATAGAATATTCTGAACAATTCTATAATTTGTATATATGTGTGGAAACTATGATTGAATTCATGTTACTTTCTGAAGTTTTATTATTATAGGGAGAAGTGGTATGGCTTGGCAAATGATTGATTATACCCTATATAGTCAGATTTTATTATTATTATTATTACTCTCAATATTATAATAATAATAGTGATTAAGCTTGAAAATACCAGGCAACCATCTGACCAGTCATCATGTAATGGAGTAAATTTAATGATCTATGCTGATTTAATTTTCTCTTTCTTATATCTATCGGAGTCATCTGACCTTATCTGTGATTGGTGCGCAATGTTGCGGAAAATTGACAAATGAGGCGGAAGAGTTATTAGCCGTTGTCTTTTTTTTTTTGAAGAGGGGATGAGGGCGTTTATCTGTGTATGTATATATCTCTATGTAGGTATGTAGGTATAAAAACAAGTGGGTGGATATATATAGAGAGATTTTTTCCTTCTTCTTTCTCTATGCTTTTTAACATTCCTTTAGTTGACTAGCTTCGACTTATTATTATTATTGTGTAGGTATGTATGTGTGTGTATGTTGTATATACATCATTGATGTTTGTATGTTTATTTATATCATTCTGGGTTTCTTATTTTCACATTGTTTTTGCGTTACAAATTATTTTTCTCTTCTATTTTCCTCTATTCTTTTCTATATTCTAAATTCACACTGAAACTACATTGAACAACGTAGGTTTGTATTAGGAGAGGTGTACAGAGGTGTATAGAAAGAGTTTGATGCACTGATTGATTAGTAACACATCCTCACACACACACACACACCTCCCTCTCTCACACACACACCTAACACACACACACGTAACTATACGATTTACAAATAGGGATGATCTAATTTTCAGATCATTAGAGTAATAATAATAATGACAGGATTACTAATATGATTTATGTAAATAAAATTTCTTAATTGTAAATAAAAGAATGAAGATATTTCAAGTCGTTACCAAATGGAAAATGAGTTTTCTTTTCATATTACAATGGGAACTTTTTTTCAGATTTTCAGAAAGGGGTTTTGTGGAGATTGTAGTAATTTCAATAGTTGAATTCATGAGTGAAAATCTGGAAGAACTGAATAACCGTTTCGTTCTAGTATGGGGCTCCTTAGAAGTGTGCATCCACGATCCCGGTCATGGGATTCGAACCCGGGATTTATCAGTTTTGTGTACGAACACTTAACCTCTAGACCATTGGGATGGCATCCAACGGTGTTTATGTCTTACTTTAACCAATTCATTAAATTCCTCCACCGTCGACTATTGTTGTCAGTGAGTTACTATCTCACAACAAATCCGGTTGAACTTCACTGGATTCCAGGAAATACCTCTTGAATTCCACTTTATATGCGAGGGTTTGTGATAGAATTCGAATGTTTGAACTCAACTAGATCGAATGAAATCAGAGCCAGTGATTTGACAGTTAAAAACACACTGTTGTTATTATTACGTCAGTTTAACTAAAATCATTCCTCAAAAGCTTTGGTCAGTCTAAAATAAACAGGGTGGGGGCTATAAGGATTCTTAAACTGTACATTAGGAACTTAACAATCCACGTTTTCAACTCGATGATCCAGATCAGTTCACATAAGGGTATTATATTAACACGGAAAGTCTTGAAAACCCAAAGTATGTTGCCACGTAAAATTATAGTTCCCCATTTTTTCCTGAATCTTAAAGTAAGAAGATATAGATAGCAATCACTTTGGTTGATTTCAGTCCCTACAGATAAATAAATAAATCTAATCTTTCAAAATCAACTGACTAAACAGCTAATTTAGAGAAGGAACATCTATTGGAAATATAGTTGTAGATTGTAATTTAGTAACTCAATATACGTTACTCTGGTGTCTAATTCTTGATACAGACTTAGACATATCTATCTTATTTATTTATCTAAACACATAAGCATTGGTACAAAAAGACACCATATATATGCGCCTCACATATCATTTGATTTGTGGATGGGATACTACCCTGGAGCCCTAACCTAGGCGGGTGGTTTTCATGGGGGGTCACACCCCGAGTCTTTAACCTAAAAGTCTTATCCACAAAACAGTGGAGCAACGTCAGGAGACGAAGTTCCATGATAGCCGGTGATCAACAATAGGTTCATACACCATTTGTTCCCTTAGGATCCTGGAACCCATGTAGACCATTGGTTTGGAATTAGGGTTTAGCGATTCCTCTAGGTGGATCCACCGTATCCGCTAACCCGGTTAGAGCACCGGAAATTCGCTTTTCGTCCTCGCAATTTAGTTAACAACACTCGTGGCGCGAGGTAGTGAGTAGGACTTCCGTGATAGTGGTTTTGTGCATGCAGCCATGTGAGAGCGTTTCGAGAGGAAGAGTGGACTTTCTCCACTCTTGGCCGTACCATTATTTATTTATTCATTCATTCAGTAACAGTGCTCGTTTATTCGAAACCTAAAGAACCCATCTTCAATGTAGAATATAATATATATGACTATCACCAACAACCTACTATGGGAGAGAAAAAACCGAGGTCCGAATGAAGGAAGAAATCAGGAAGAAGCACTGGAAGTGGATAGGACACGTATTGAAGAAAGCACCCAATTATCTCACAAGACAAGTTTTCACATGGAATCCCCAAAGCCAAAGGAGGAGAAGAGGAAGACCAAAGAACACATCACACCGAGAAATGAAGACACACATGAGAAGAATGAACAACAATTGGATAGAACTAGAGAGGACGGTCGAGGACATAGTGATTTAGAATATTCTAGTCAGCGGCCTATACTCCACTGTGGGGGGTGGGTAACAGGTGTAAGTAATATATATGACTAAAGAAGTTATATCTTTCAGTGTATCCATTAAATGAAATAGAAGAAACTGTATCATTTAATAATTGCTATTATATCACATTTATAATTCATTGTTTCTATGTACAAGTTTTTAGTTTACAACAAAATAATTGTTTATTTTTAATATACTGCATTTGCACATACACACACATATACTACATACATACATACACACACATACATACATAGGCCTAAATGGGTATCAATCTGTAAGTGTACAAATATAAAAGTGTGATTTACCATTTGCATCAGAAATGTGGCTTATTCTGTAGTGAACAACATTTGATATTGATGTGCAACAAAATAGTTACTAAGTAGATAAGTAAAGGAAGTATGGAAGTAATGAATTAAGTAAGTAACTAACTGACTAAGTACAATAAACATGAGAAACGAATGAATTTGCCATAGAAATTAGTTATCAGTTCATTTATTCTTCTTTTTTGTTGTTCTTTAATACATTTTATAAATTAATGAAAATAACGTGAAAAATCATAATAAGTGCTATTTATACTACTTATATTATTGCTATTATTATCAGTACTATTAGTATTATTGATGTTTACATTAGGTGTTTGACTAACTAAACTACTTAAATCAAAATTAATTATAGTATTATTCTGTGTAGAACATGAAGAAGCAGAAGATTGTGATAATGATAATGAAGATGTTGAAGCCAATGGAGAAGAAGACGAAGACGAAGACGACGAAGAAGAAGATGTAGTAGTAGCAGTGGTAGTAGTAGTAGTAGTAGAACAACATGAAGGTGGTGGTGGTGCACATATTGAAGATGTAGAAGTATTCGATATTAAATTAAATTCTGAGTTAATTCTATCTAAATATCCATAATTTATTGGTGTAGATTCATGAGAATTCAATATGATATCATATTCATTAGATGTTACTATCGATTTAGGTGTTACATTTTGATTGTGAATATAGTTTGAATTATTGGTATTATTGTTATTATTATTCCAAGCTACAACAGCCGCTGCAGCTGCTACAGCCATAGAAGATAACTGAGATGATGTATCAGGAAGTATTTGTGGTAATAGATGATTAGTTGATCCATGGTCATATCCAATAGAAATAGGTGATTTACCAATGATACCATTGTTAGACAGCATAGACAATGATGATGATGTTGATGATGGTGGTGGCGGTGGTGGTGAACCAATACCAGAATCAGTAGATAATGTACTTGGTTGAGGATATGTCATACCATACCATAATGAAGGATTTATTGAATCTGTTTTATAATTATGTATTTGATCAGTAGAATTCAACCATATTGGTTGATAATCTGCATGATTAGATTGTGTTTTATCCATTAATTCTATATCAATTTGTCTTTCTTGATTGTGAGATATATCAAGTGAAGCATTTCTATTTAATGTATGTATACTACTCATTAAACTATTTACATTATTATTAGTAGTAGTACTACTAATAATAGTATCACTGATATGATTATTTGTAGTAGTAGTAGTAGTAGTAGTAGTAGGAGGAGGAGGAGGAGGAGGAGTAGAAGTAGTAGTCGTATTCACAGTATGAATCGTCTCTAACAATTGATTATTATATGATAAACAATTTAATTTAGTAAAATCTGAATTCATCATTAACATTCCATCTCTTTTATTATTTGATATGATATTTTGTATTTGTCTATGATCTAGATCAGAATTATGATCTGTATCATGATTATAATGATTAATCGATAGAATAGGATCATTTAAATTGATTTTTGTTGATAAAATATGTTCATGATTAGTTGAACGTGTTACATCATTTAAAATTGTATAAGTTTCTGTTTGATGATTAGAAATTGGATTGATTACAGTTGAATGATCTCGTGGTATATGATCGTTTAATGGATCAAATTGTTCAGAATAATTAAATAGTTTCTTAGGTGATAGATGCTTAAAAGTAATAGTCAGGAAAATAATAAAAACAAAATAGGGTTTTAAACAATAAGATATTCGAAGGGGTTTTGTGGATATTATAGTGATTTTAATCGTTGAGATCATGAAACATTTGAAACTAGACCACCATGGAAAACCTGGAAGTACTAGACTGTGAGATTCCTCAGAAGTGTGCATCCACGATCGTACCTTGTGAGATTCAAACCCAGGACCTACCGGTTTCGCGCATGAACACTTAACCACCAAACCACTGAGCTGGCAGGAATCCAACGGTATTAATGTCTAACTTCAATCGATCCACGAAATTGAACGACACATCCACCATTGTCTTCAGTGAGTTACTATCTCACAACAGACTCAATTGAATTTCACTGGTCACTGTTTCTCAATGGAACTCCAGGAAATACCTCTTGGAGACAATCACTAGTGAGCATATGTTGATTAATATCAGAAGGAGTTTTGTCGTCTAATGGTTAAACGCTCGCGCGCGAGACTATTAGGTCCTGGTTTTGAAACTTACGAGGAGAGGTCGTGGATGAGCACTTCTGAGGAGTCCCACAATAGGACGAAATGGTCGTCCAGTGCTTCACGGTTTTCAATAGTGGACTAACATAAATCGATTCATGATCTCAATCAAGTACTGAACACGTTCTTTCCTTATGGTTTTAAAATATATCCACAATATTTATCTGTGAGTTATATCAGGTTAATATTTGGTATTCATGTATTGTTGTGATTAGAATAGTGAAAGATCAATATTTCTATCATTTTCAAGTAACTGGGAAATTGAGAGTGTTGAGTTTCATAGTTTGCATCACGGACTGAATTTAGCAAAACAACTATTGAGAACACGGAAGTACTAGATAGCTATTTCGCGAAATTGCGCGACCAACTTCCATTGTACTGAGGTAGATACCTGTCTTTGGTTGATGTTAGACACTAACACCCTTGGATGTCAGCTCAGTGATCTAGTTGGTTAAGCGCCTGGCGGGAGGCCGATAGGTTCTGTGTTCGAATCTCGCGGGGAGCAGGATCGTGGACGCTCACTACTGAGGAGTCCCATACTAGGACGAAACGGCCGTCCAGAGCTTCCAGGTTTCCAACGGTGATCTAACATCAATTGATTCATGATCTTAATAAAAAAAATCAACAATCTCTACAACCCCCATACTGATAAATCACTTATTATTCATTTACGTTTCCCTATCAAGTTTATCTATACAGCTTTTGATATACTCAGTCTGTGAGTAAGATCTAATGATGTTTTCTAATCAATCAAATGGTGAGATTGATGAAATACAATATTTCGCAGCAATTTGTATGACTCTTTCGGTCTCCTACATTGAACGAGCATTCCATGTAGCTAAATTAATGATTGCTCTAGTTGTCAGAAGGGATATCAGCCTCATAACTTCCGAAGGAATTCAGCTTTCATCATGAGGCATCATAACTCTTCTAAATGAAGATCTTCTAACTCTCAGGGCAGAGTTTAAATGGTTTGAATTATTTTTTCTAGTTAGTTTTTTTGTTAATGAGTTACGAGATGAGAGTGTTAACACTATGCCTAACTCTTCTACTTTTTATCCGGGCTTGGAACCAGCAGTAGCTCTAGAGGATGCTCCAAGTTATTAACATCAATTATTCGTTTATACAAAGACTTACCTCTTGATGAATTGGTGTAGACATATATGTCCAATTCATATTACCATATTCTTTTCTAATCATATTTATTTGTTCTTCTTTTTGTTTATTCTGTTGATGATAATCATCATCATGATGATAAACTATAGTAGACTGATGATTTATTTGTTCATAATTTAATTTTTGTTTAATTAAATTCAATTGATCTAATTCATGATGATCATTCATTCTAGAATAATCTTGTACTTTATTCAATATTGAATAATTATAATGTTGATCATTACTTGGATTATCATCTAAACTTGGTGATCTTGATGATCTATTTTGTTTAGTGTGATTTAATTCTTTACCTTCACGACGCCATTTTGCACGACGATTTGAAAACCATACTTGTATACGTGATTCAGGTATTAACATTGATCCTGCTAATTGTTCTCTAATCATTAAATCAGGATAATGTGTACGTTCAAATTCTAAAAAAAACAAACAAGACATGATGAGAATAGTAGTTGTTATTATTATAAACTAAATATATATAATTATAATGCATGTAAGACTCCCAAATGACCTGATACAATCGAGAGTGGGGAGAGTCTGCTTTCTCTCTCTCCCTCTCGAAATGCCCTCAAATGGCCACGTGTATACAACCGTTGCCAAGAAAGTCCTACTGTCTGCCTTCTCGTGAAATTGAGAGGACGAAAAGCTAATGTCTGGCGCTTTAAGCGGGTTGGTCGACACAGAGAGTCCACCTAGGGGAGTTAGAAAACCCTAATTCTAAACCAGTGGTGTACATAGGCTCCAGGATCGTAAGGAAACAAATGGCGTACGCACCTATTGTTGGACACCCGCTACCATGGTACTGCATCTCCTTACGTTGCTCCACTGTCTTGTGGATCAAACATTTAGGTCGAAAGCTCCGAGTGTGGTTCCCTAAGAAAACCACCTTGTTCGATTTGGGCACCCGGGCAGTATCCCAGCCCTCACACAAATCGAATGATTTACGTGGCTCATATATATTTGGTGCCTCCTTGTACCGATGTTTATGTGTTTAAATAAATAAATACATAATGCATATAAGCATTGATATGTAAAGTGTTGATTAGAAGGAGTCTACAAGATACCCTGAAGTTACTGAAAAAATAATTTTCTGATAGCTTTCAAGATGTATTAACCATGGTGTTGGAGTTATAGGCAAGCATTTCTGAGGAGTCACAGATCAGCGAAACATTCGTCTAGTTTTCCCTGGTTTTCAGTGGTTCTCAGATTGAGATCAATCTGTGATGAATACTACACACGCATTGTCATTTTCTTGCCTAAAAGGTTAGTTCGACATTGATAAAATGTTAGGTTCTGGATTTAATAACAGGTTACTAATTAGTAAGAAAAATTAGGGAGAGACAGTGGAAGTTGATAGGATGTACATTACAGAAATCATCAAACTATACCGCGAAGCAGGCGTTGACTTGGAGTCTTGATGAGAAACGAAGAAGAGCAAGACCAAATAACACACTGCGTCAGGAATTGGAAGCAGATATCAAAATAATGAATAACAAATGGAAAGGATTGTCGAAGACAAAGTTAGATGGAGAATGTTTGTAGGCGGCCTATGCTACTCTATGAGGAGTAACAAAAGTAAGTAAATTAAGTAATTATTGGATCGCTGCAATGTAGATTTCCTCGAACTTCTAAAATGAAATTGTGACCTGTAGTTATCAATGTGAAGTGTGAAACACGTTTTCCAAATAGTTGATCCAATAGTACCATAAATTACACTTGTACATTCAAAAACACAAATTCATCATGTACTCTACACTACATAGTGTATCTCATAAATAGGCGAACTAATCTACAAAGTTTATTAGTTATGGAACTATGTATATTCACAATCCTTATATTAAATATATTAAGGAGTACTTTAAAGAATAGGTAAAATTTTATAAGCAAAGATGGAATGTACTTAGCAGTGGAATCTAGGATGCGCGTCTCGCCCCATTTGGGACTCGTCAGCTACACGTACCTGCGTCTTACAGTTTATGTCCACCCTGGGACTCGAACCAATTACCGTTCGCCTTAAACACCATCACGTTAACCACGTAGCTATTAAGTCTTAATATCCATTTGCTTGTGCAAAATGGTGAAGTTTAAAATCACTTGTTATTGTTTACTTGAATCGTCCCATTGACGTTTATCACTGCAATTGATCCGTTTCTTATAGGATGAAAAGTGTGTCCTGGATTCCACTGTTAGCCACTATCCATCTCTGCTTATAATGTTTGTGAATTAATACAATATAGAGGCAACACACACAGGATGCACATGTGCTAATAAGAGACTGATCAATTACAGTCCAAAACATCAGTGGGAAGATTCAAGTTAAATAATACAAAATGAAGGTAAAACTTTAGTTGTGCTTAAAACTCATACAAAGATGACCACCTTGAAGTAATATTGATAAATCAGTGGAACTAACGATTTCATATCAAAAATTTTGGTGGAACTCAAGAAGATTTTTTTAGAAAATCCACAAAATCGGCATCGAGTAATCTTTATGGCTGTTGTTCTTCTTCTTCTTCTTGTTGAAATAATGCATTAAAGATGGTTAGAAGATAAAATATAAAACTAAGTATTTTGAAAGAGGAATATAAGTTATAATACTTTAAACATAACAGTTCACAGCGCACTGCTAAGGAGCCCCGAAACAGGACGAAAATGGCCATCCAGTGCTTCCAGGTTTTCAATAGTGGTCGAACATCAATCAGTTCATGATCTCAATCAATAACTTAATAATCTCCATAACCCTATACTCACGATTACCATGTGCTCACTAGTGACTAGTTTCGTGAAGGAATTCTCGGATTTCTAGTAAGAAGCCGCGTCCAGTGGAGCTAATCCGCATCGAATAGAGACAGGTATCTAACTCAGTACAATGGAATATGGTCGCACAATTAAGCGGATTGGTTGAAGTTAGACATAAATACCGCTGGATGCCGGCGGGCTTAGTGGTCTAAAGGTTAGGCGTTCGTGCGCGAGACTGACGATCCTGGGTTCGAATTTCGAGATCGGGATTATGGATGCGCCCTCCCACAATAGAAGGAGTTGGCCGTCCAGTGCTTCCAGGTTTTCAATAGTGGTCTAACATCAATCAGTTCATGATTTCAATCAATAACTTAATAATCTCCACAACTCTATACTGATCTATGAAACCGTCAATCGGTCAGCAACAACAGAGTCATATCTATGAAACAGATTGATATATTCAAAGTAAATCTTATTGACTACTTAAATGATTTCAGTATTTACCTTCTTCAAGTATTTCTAATTGTTCCGGTGTAAATGTTGTTCTATTTCTTCCAATTTTTTTATTATCATTTAATTTTTCATCTAATTTAGAATGATGATGATTATAATGATCCATAGAATTCATCATTGATACTGATGACGAAATGGAATTAAGTAGTGTATGATTCATTTCTGAATAATGATTATTATTAGTAGTATGTTGTTGTTGCTGTTGTTGTTGTTGTGATTGAGAAGGATGTAATACATTGTGTTTCGATGATAATTTTGTAAAATTATCTTTACCATAAGTTTTCATTAATATTTCCATAGGTGTTGAACATATTTTCATTATATTATTAATAGGACTAGTGGTAATGGTAGTCATAGTAGTATTACTACTGCTACTACTACTACTAGTAATACTACTATTATTAATATTATCAGTAGTAGTTGTAGTGATATTCATTGAATTGTAATGTGAATTTAATAGTTGTTGTTTGTTAGATTGAATTTTTTGTTGTAAACTAGTTGGATTAGATGAATGAATTCCTTTGAATGTTTCCAGATTTAATCTTGATTGATCTAGTTGATTTTCTATTGTTGAATGAATGAATGGATCTGTATAATAAACGAATAGAAACAACAACATTGAAATTGACTAATCAACATTGATAAAGATATATTGAAATGAATAATATAGATAATCTCAATTATTAATGGTTCACTTATAATAAAGTTGAGAATACGAAGATAAATGGCTTGTGAGATTTACAATAGTTCTATAGTTGATCTACAAATGTAGGAGAAAACGACCAGTGTAGCAGCAGCCTCAGCAGCAGTAAGTCTCAACATACACAAAGGGAAAACCAAGATTCTCCAACACAACACAGCACGGAACAATCGAATCACACTTGACGGAGAAGCTTTACACGACGTAAAAACCTTTGTGTATCTGATCACGATTGTTGATGAACACGGTGGGTCTGATACAGATGTGAATGCGCGGATCGGCACAGCAAGAACAGCATGTCTACAATTGAAGAACATCTGGAACTCGAAACAACTGCCAACCAACACTAAGGTCAGAATTTTCAATACAAATGTCGAGACAGTTCTACTGTATGTGGCGACAACGTGGAGAAAATACAAGTGTTTATCAACAGTTGTTTATGCAAAATACTTCGGATCCGTTGACTAGACACTATCAGCAACAATCTACTGTGGGAGAGAATAAACCCAGGTTCCAAAAGGAGGACGAAATCAGGAAGAAGCATTGAAAGTGGATAGGACACATATTGAAGAAAGCACCCAATTACCTCACAAGGCAAGTCCACACTTGCAATCCTCAAGGCGAAACGAGGAGGAGAAGAGAAAGACCAAACAACCCATCACACCGAGAAATGAAGACATACATCAGAAGAACGAACAACAATTGGATAGAACTAGAAAAGAAGGCTGAGGACATGGTGATTTAGAATATTCTGGTCAGTGGCCTATGCTTCACTGGGGGAGGGGGGTAACAGGCGTAAGTGAGCATAGTTGGTCTACATTTGGAAGTAAAAATATTTTAAAAAATTCACACAATTTCGATAGTCATTTAAGTAATATATAGAAGTGTTGACTAATAGCTTATAAATACTCCGCCTGGAGGCCCTCTGGTGCTACTGCCGTTCCCAAGCCCGGATAAAGGAGGAGGGTTGGGCATGGATTTACCGACCTCATCCTGTGGAAAACTAACTCGCTAAAAAATACGCTGACCGGAAAAAATAGGAGATGCTGGTAGAATGTCAGCTGTTAAACTTCTTAGGCTTCGAATTAGTTGACTTTATCCTTCCAGTAACATCAACCACAAAAATACTGGATCTAAAAAGTTTAAAATTTATTTTGGATTCAGAAAGAAAATAGAAAAGCTTTCTCCGGCTAGCTAGAATCTAGAAAATCCATTAGATTTCTCAGTATTTGGCAGCGATCTGATTGAACCTCATACTGATTGTTAGTTATACGTCATTACACTGGATAATCTTCAAGAAACTAAATTTTTGAGATCATTATACTTATAAACAGCAATAATGGTCTCTATGAAGTGAAACAATTGAACAAATCGGATATTTTAGTATTTAGCCTGTTCCACGTACCGTCTTTGGCAAATATGTGGGGTCTACAATACCAAAATTCTTATGAAAACATATTCATTGGACCTTTAAGACCTTTAAGTTAACAATGTACTTACTAATGACAACTATATGCTTAATAGATATGTTATCAGAATTGGGTTTTTGTGGATTGTAGTAATTTTTTAATCATTGAATTTATGAGTCGATTGATATTAGACCACCATGGAAAACCTGGGATTACTGGACGGCCGTTTCATTCAAGTATGGGACTCCTCAGTGGTAAGCATCCACGACATGGTACACAGGATTCGAAACTGGGACCTTCGATCGCAAACGCTCAACCTCTAGACCACAGAGTCAATATCCAACGGTCTTAATGTTTAACTACAACCAATCTTGGATGAGCACTGATGAGCACTCCTATAATAGGACAAAACGGTCATCCTGTGCTTCCAAGTTTTCCATGGTGGTCTAGCTTTAATTGACTTGTGAATTCAACTATTAATAGATATATGTTTATTATAATATGTATTTAACCACTAATCCAATACTTTATACTGATTTCCTGCCTTATAATATATACTATTCTTTATATATACACCATTGAAAAACTGTTTCACAATATGTTTAGGGTAAATTAGTTCAGAAATTAACTCTTCATATGAATCGTCTTTAAAAATAATTCACATAATGAACTAATCATAACAAGAGGTTCATTACAAATCAAGATACAATGAACAGTTGGTAAGATGCTAATTTATGGATGACTTTCAAGACACTCTAAAGTGTCTTTGATAATGTTCACTTCCTAAATAGGACTAAATGAAGGTTATCAATGAGTGTAAGGAATTCGAATGTTTATAGTAGATGGTTAGGGTTTTCATCACGAACTGACATCAGCTTTAATGTGAATGAATTTCGCACCGAAATCCAAGACCTGCTACCATATATCTGATTGCTTTGTCTATACAAATTATAATGTTGCCAAATAGTTTAGTTAAAAAAAACTATCAATACCACTTTATGTACTGATCTTCTAATCAACGAATCATTACACTTTATCATTTCATATTTACAACACAAGTAAACGAACGAAAATGCATTGTTATCATGTAGATCTATTTCAGATCTTATTAGTAAAAATACTCATCACTTGATCGATCATCTATAGGATCACTAAGTAGTTACTAATATCGATTATTTTATTTCCATGGTGATAATGTCCCTGATAGTCTAAGTCATTCAACATCACTTACACTCTGTTTGTTTATATGTCGGATGTTTGAAACTAATCCTTGAGGAGATAATATTAACATCTAAATAGACAATACTACTGATAAAGTATTTATATTCAATCTTACCTGATCTTGTTAATTCTTTCTTTTTCAATTCCATTTGAATAGGATTTAAATTATGATTATGATTATCTTGAAGGAATTCCATTAATCCCATTGATGATTTCTCATAGAATTGACATTGTTCATTTGATTCAATTTCAGTATCTAAACATTCATATAATTTTGATGAATTTCTTATAAGTAAATTGAATTCATTATGTTTATTATCACCATTATCATCATCGTCATCGTCATCGTCATTATCATCATCATCGTCATCACCATCACCACCATCATAATTATTCTTCATAAGGGATTGTTGTTGTGCTTGCTGCTGTTGTCGCTGTCGCTGTTGTTGTTGTTGTGGCTTACTATGATGTAATAAATGATCGGGTTTATTCAATTCACATACATTCATATTATGAAGATGAATTGATGATGAAGTATGATGAGAACCATTTGAATTATGTTCTCCTTCATTATTATTATTATTATTACCCTTACTATTAGGTTTATTCAGATTTATATGGGATGGATGAAATTGAACAGGATCTATACTATTAGACATATTGAAACTTGGTAAACTACAATAATTTGTTTCAGCTAAACAATCATTATTATTATTAGTAGTAGTAGGATTACCATTATCATTATTACTATAATTTCTTATATTCATATTTGTATCCATAGAAATAGATGACGTACGATGATTAGTAGATTCTGATGAGGATGATGAGGATGTATTATACCATGATGGCCAATTGGTATGATGTAGGAAATTAGAAAATGTATCATACATATTCGTTGATGATTGGAATGTTGGAGACACATCACTATTACTAGCTGTAATAGTGGTGATAGTGGTAATGCCAGTAGTAGTGGTAGTCGTAGTGACACCATTATTACCATTCATTTCAAATAAACGATTTTGATATGTAATTGAATCATATATAGTTGAAGTTTGTGGATAATTTTGTTGAACAGCTGCTACAGCAGCCGCTGCAGCAAATGCTACTGTTTGTGGATGATTAAATCGAGGTGGTGAAGTTCTCGGTGATCGAGGTGACATATTTATTCCTCGAGATACTTGATTTACAGTCAATTGTAGTGGATAATTTTGGTTATTTAAACTAGACTGATTCATAAGACGATTAAGATGAGAGGATTGAAAATCAACCATTGGCATACGATTCAATGATGAATTGAATTGATTATTTTGTGTATGGGTATGATGTAATAGATGTTCATTTGATTGCATTGTTTGGATATTCATAAGAGAATTTAATGTATGACTAGCACTATTACTATTAGGATTATTGTTATTATGTTCATTTTGTGAAAGATTTGATCCTAATGAAAGAGGTAGTTGATTATCGTTACATACATTTCTTAATACACGATTTATTGATGATACCTTGAATGTTGAAAAGGTGAACAGAGAAGAAACATACACAAATAAATACTTGATATATATACTAACTACAACTGGTTATTGTTCAAAATGAGTAAATATATAACATCAGCTAAAGTACTAGTCAAGGCAAATGAATGTTAGACAATTGTAAATTGCTGTTGCAGTCAATGAGAATAAACAATTGGCACAACAACAATAAGGTATTTCCCTCAGATTACCAAAGTCTTCAGAGATTCTGTCTTCTCACAATAGAACGAATGGGTTAGGAATAGTTGGGTGTAATGATAGTACGTCTTGTTTTTTTTTTTCAAGGGTTTTCATCCAAATAGGTAAGGGCTTTAAATAATAGAAGTAACATATTTCCAAAACTACTCACAAAGGCCGTGTGAATTATGTCAAGCCATAGTCACTTCTAGACAGTTAAGGTCATCCCTAACCCAATTTCCTTTCCAGGTACCTTAAGAAGAAGTATCGTTTCACGATATGGACAACGGACAAGTGTCAACCGACTTCTAAAATCTGACGAATGGTAAATATATGGTTGATGCAGTCACGACCAGGTCTGAAGCCAGCCTGATTTTCTTCTGTTTGCAGTTCATGATTCTGTGTTAGGCTAGTATTTTAGATGCTATGTTAGTCAAACTAATCCTTTTATGGTTGTCGCAGGATGATTTTGACCCCTTCATATATATATTAGGACAACCAGTGATTGCGACCAATCAGATGAAATTACATCCAACTCTCAGATTTTAGCTAAAATATTAGTCAATCTAATCGCTAAAACTAGACCACCATCTTTGAAGACCTCTACAGCCAATCTATCTGAACCAGCTGCTTTTCCTCGTTTCAGATTAGTCATAGCTTTTTGAACTCCAACTAGATTAAAATCGCCCCATATCTTTCTTTCTACGAATTAATTCTTTCTTCCTGTACTATGTCCTTATATGCAATCTTTCTTTTATATATTCCTACCATTGAAGTAACTACTTCTATGAATATGGTGTTCATGTTGTTGTACTGATGAAGTATGGCAATTCGAACCGATGCATATATGTGCCTGGTTCTACGTTGCAGCTCACTGACTGACTAACTGACTAACTGACTGGATATTCAACTGATGACTACACTTCGATATCGTGCTTCTTGTTCTTGTTTTTTATTTTAGCTTTATCAACTTACATATCTTGATCATCTTTACTTTTCAATGGGCAGAGAGAGGGGGGGAACACAACACTTGAAATAAGAAATCTACTATGTATTAACAATAGGAAACTCTTCTTAAATAATGATACATTTAGATTTTCATGTAAAAAAAAGAACATTGAATACATTATAGCTCTTTAATATTACCGCTATTTAATTCTATACTATAACTATTGTTAGTAAATAATAACATTGAACGCTTGAATGATTCTATGTGTAATGGATAAGAAGTAGAAGTAGAAGTAGAAGAAGAAGACAAACAGAGGGAGATAGAGAAAAAGAGAAGGAGAAAGATCAAATTTAATGATCTAAATGTCACAAATCAGGAATTAATTTCTTTTTTTAAAAACAAGAACAACAGAAGATCAAATTGAAGATTGAGTTTATGTGATGGAGCTATTCAATTAGTTAAATGATATTAGGAATATAAATAAGAATGATAGATTAAAATTAATCAATTAACTTAACATTAACATTGTCACTGTTTTGTTTGTTTGTTTGTTTACTGTTCTTCTTCTTCTTCTTCTTCTTCTTCGTCTGTGAAAATATCTCCACTAGATACTTAAAATAAAAGTCGTCTCTTGTTGTACAAAACTGGTATTTTAGTAAAAAAGTTGTTTTTTTCGTATTTGACATTTCAGTATGCATATTAAATGTGGATGCCGACTCAGTGATTTAGAGGTTAAGCGTTAGTGTGTGAAACTGAAGGTCCTAGGTTCGAATTCCGCGGGCGGGATCGTGGATATGCACGGTCGTCCAATGCTTCCAGGTTTTTAATGGTGGTTTAAAATCAATCGGTTCATGATCTCAGTCAAAAACATATATATATATATATATATATATATATATCATAACCAGTATTGGTTGGAGACTCTGGGTGACATAGCTCAGAATCGGTCACAATAGCGTAGGTGTATAAATCATTTGTCTTCCCTTAAATCATGAGATTATACCTTTCTTTCTACGAACTAATTCTTTTTCCCTGTATTATATCCTTATATGTAATCTTTCTTTTATATATTGCCACCATTCAAGTAAATTGTTCTATGGATTTGATGTTCGTTTTGTTGTGCTAATGAGGTTTGGCAACTTTGACCAGCCCCTAAATGCTCTGGTCCGGCTGAGGGTGTAGAGAGTACTCTCTCTCTCTCTAAAAGCTTTCACATGGCCACGCGTATACGGTCACTTACAGGGAAGTCCAAATCATCGCCTCCTCGTGGCGGGAGTGTCCAAAAAATTGAGAGGACGAAAAGCGAATTTCCCGTGCTCTAACCGGGTTAGTGGATACGGAGGATCCACCCAGAGGAATTGGTAAACCCTAATTCCAAACCAATGGTCTACATGGGTTCCAGGACCCTAAGAGAATAAACGATGTATGAACCAACCGTTAGTCACCGGTTACCATGAGACCGTATATCTTGATATTGCTCTTCTTCCTTGTGGATAGGACCTCGGATAGTGGCCCCCTAAGAAAATCACCTGCTTCTGTTGGGGCACCCCAGCAGTATCACAGCCCACACACTAATCAAGTTACTTGTGTGGCGAATATACATTCGGTGCCCCTTTGTACCAATATTTATGTGCTCAAGTAATAAATAACTTGAACGGACACATTTATATGCCTAGTCCTACTTTGCAGCTAACTAACTAACTGACATTTCATATCATTCTCACCTTGGACTGCAATAAGTTGATAAATTTGTAGGAAATTCAACCAAACAGTACAAGATAAAATAGAAAATGGTGATACTAACATAAAACTATTTTCATAGTTTTAATCACAAAGTAATCTTAGTTAGATCATCATTGAAAACAGCGATGCACTGAACGGTCGTTCTGAGACTCTTTAGAACTGGACATTCATAACACTTCCATGAATCAAACCAAAGACTTTCGGTCTTGAACTTGAACGCTAAATCTCTATATCACTGTGTTAATGTCTAACTTTAATCAATTAATTATTTAGCGCAATCTTTATCTATTGCCTGAGGTGGATAACTGTCTCACCTTCAACATAGTTAGATTTCATTAGTCAAAACTATTGATCAAATCATTGATTCCTTCTACTCTTCACCCCTCTATTCTATACACAAGATTCACAAGTTTATTCTACTGGAAATCTTTACAAATTGATTCTCTTGTTTTAATATTATTATTATTATTATTGGTCAAGACGAAACTTGAGTTTAAAGATTCTCTATTGTTTTAATGGTTCCACAGCTTGTAGGTACCATATATGTATATACCTATAGTATAGCTAGGTAACTTTAAGTGTAATTAGACAAATTCATTGGGTCATCATCATCATCATCATCTCATTATTATCGAAATATTGAGATATACCGAAAAAGAAAAATTTATGACAAAACTTTTCACGTCTGTTGTATAGAAGATACTACTTGAATTACTATTCAGGCATAAATTTTCTTAACTTCAAGTAGTTGATGAAGAAACAAAAAGAAGAGGAAAGCAAGATGAGCAAGACTAAGCTTTAAAATGAGAAACATAAATAGACAAGGATAACTTGAATTGAATTCAATTTGTCTGTCTACAATGATTCTCTTTTAGGTTCCAATCATTCTGTTTTACTTCTCTTTTCCATACTTTTCTCTTACATTTTAACTTATTACCAATGTCTATGCGTAGAAACGTGCGCGCGCACACACACGCACACACGCACATATACAAAGGGAGAGGGATTCTTTTTTTCTAAAAAAATGAGAGGAACGCAAATCTCTTAGTTGCACGCAATATTTCGATTACATATATATAAAGATTTCACATGTACACCAATATAGGGATAACCATATGTTCATAAACAGTGAGAATTATATGCTTCATTTGTTTGAACCAAATGTTTGTCAACTTAGCATTTATCAACAAAAAAATATTTGTAATAATTATTGAATGATGTTTCTTTTGGATATACGGATATGCGGAGTTACACATTAACACCATTGGATGCCGGCCGGTTCAGTGGTCTAGTGGTTAAGTGTTGGCCTAGGTCCGAATCTCGCGGGGTGCGGGATTGTGGATGCGCACTGCTGAGGAGTCCCATAATAAGATGAAACAGCCGTCCAGTGCTTCCAGGCTTTCCATAGCGGTCTAGCTTCAACTGACTCATGATTTCAACCAGTGAAATTTCCAAAATCTCCACAAAACCGCTTCTCATATATAGATTGATTAAAAGTTATGTGGGATGTGCACTGCTGAGGAATCCCATTCTAGGACGAAACGATCGTTCAGGGCTTTCAGGTTTTCAATGGTGATCTAACATGCATCCCATCCATTCATGATATTAATTGAATATTTAAAGATCTTAAGGAAATGTTTAAATGATAACAATTACAAATACTGATAACATTTATCCAATACTCGATACTTTGCACTAAGATGGCAAACTATTGAACTAACTGAACATATTCAATACTTGATAGCAGATAGAATATGGTCAGTATTGAATTCGGTTACTTTTTTCATTAAAAAAAAACAACAAAATGAAGTCCGAAACTCCTTTCACACGTTATCGCCAAATTTTAGTGCTCAATAACGACCAAGTTAAATAGAATCTCATTAGGTTACTTGGATAGATGGTCTACAATAATCTGTTTGATTTAAGGATAAATTTATTGGTAAGGAACCATTAAAAGCCTGTACAGTTGTTGGGTCGAAAAAAAAATCATGGCGAAAATTAGTGTTTATATGAGGGGATAATTTTAATAGTTGAATACATAAGTTGATCTAAGCTAGACAACCAGTGAAAACCTGGAAGCGCTGAATACGCACTGCTAAGGAGTCCCATACTAGGATGAAACGACCGTTCAGTAATTCCAGGTTTTCCTTGGTGACCTAACATCAATCAATTCATGAATTCAACCATTAAACATGTTCAATTTTTATTTTTAAACCAAAATTATAGTTTAAATCTGATAACAGATGATGGAGAAGATTTGTAGCTCAGATGAACGATTTTGATGAAGTTTCGTACTCTAAGCTGGATGGTTTGATCACGTAGCTTTCATAGTTTAAGGTCAACAAGAACAAATCAACATCGAGGTCTACAGGACAAGCTGTGAACCATATATGGAGAAATTCGAACACTTTATTTCTACTTGAAGTTTGTGCTTATGATGTCGTTTAGAATAATCATGAAAGCTCCACGATCAAACCATCCAGCTCAGAGAACAAAACTCCATTTAAATGTGATAACAAGAATTTTCGTTATTTTATATTTTATTATTAGAAAGCGGTTTTGTGGAGATTGTAGTAATATATGAATTTAAGTCAACTTAGGCTAGGCCACCATGGAAAACCTGGAAGCACTGGATGACCAACTCGTTCTACTATAGGACTCCTCAGCAGTATGTACCTACGATCCCACTTCGCGGAATTCGAACCCAGGACTGATCGGTCTTGCGTGCGAATACTTAACCTCTAGACTACTGAGCCGGCCGGCCGGCATCCAACGGTGTTAATGTCTAACTTCAACCAACCCACGAAATCTTTTCAACTTAAATTATAACCAGCAAATAGAAAACAATTTCTTTATATAATTAATGTTGTTTTTTAAACCATGATATTCAATAAACCGAAAACATGAAAAGTAACCTTGATCAAAACATCATTCATTACTTCATTGAAATAAAAGTACTATACTTAATCTTATTATACTATAAGTATAAGTCATTTGGATAGATAAATACGAGAGAACCCCCCCTTAGTTTCTTTTATTTTTAAGGTTTTCCACACACAAAAAAAAATAATTGTTTGCTCTTTATTTTCCACGTCGATGATATTATTGTTCTCATTAGTGTCATTATTATCTGTGGTATTGTTGTTGTTGTTGGTGGTGGTGGTGGTGATGTTGAGTGTCTTTGTTGGTGTTGTCGTTGTGGTGGTGGTGGTGGTGGTATACTTTTCTTGGAAAACATTTTCTGCTTAAATTATTCTCTTGTAATTTTAGTAAAAACTATGTAATTTCCCTTTATTTCCTGTGTTGATTAACAAATAAAAAAAATGTTCTACTCTTTTGTAGTCTTTTCAAGTTTACGTAAAAAAACATAATTTAACACGAATACAAGTACCCACACACACACACATACACACAAACAATTACACACATATATTGTCAATCTCTTCGAGTGTTTATCCATTTCTATGTGGCGTTATTTCTGAAGGAATAAAAAAGACTTTCTATTCGTAATCTGATTTCCGGAGGTGGTTGTCGAAATTTCCCGTATGGCAGTGTTATTCGTTCTGTTTGCTAAACTATTGTTGTTTTGATTATTTATATTATTATTATTATTACCATTATTATCATTGTTATCATCATCAGTGCCTTATGGATAACTACACTTCTATCTTGTATTGGTTTTTGGTTGACTTATTTTTGTCAGTATTCTAAACAAAATATTGATTTTAGCGATGAAAACATTCATGATTATTCTCGGTATATTTGACTAATACTTTTACTGACATTAATGTGCATGTTTATAGATACATATAAAGCTTTGTCACACATTATGTGGTACTTTTTCCATGTTAGGGGCGGACAAACCAAAACGTGGCATCAGTTCTTCATGTCACTCACTTCTGGACTGAGTCGTATTGGTAGATGCAGACTACTTGATTAGGGTCTACGCAACTATCATAGCCAATAGTTGGAGACTCTGAGTAACATGGCTCATATTCGATCACAATAGGGTAGGTGTATGTTCTATTTGTCTTTGCTTACTTTCTACGAACTAATTCTTTCTTCTTTTATATACTGCAACGATTGAGGTAACTAGTCCTATGAATTTTGTATTCGTCTTGTTATGTTAATGAGGTGTGGCAACTTGGACCGATGCCAATATGTACATGATTCTAGGTTGTTTCATCAACTTCAAGATATTTTTGAATATTTTTTTAAAAATTTATCATTCCTTTTTACACAGTCTTCAAGACATACCTTAAAAATTTTCACAGGTTGAAATCATGAGTCGATTGAAGCTCGACCACTATGGAAAACTTGGAAGCACTGGACGGCCGTTCCGTCCTAGTATGGGACTCCTCAACAGTGCGCATCCACGATCCCGCACCCCGCAAGATTCGGACCTAGGACCTATCAGTCTCGCGCGCCAACACTTAACCACTAGACCACTGAACCGGCCGGCATCCAACGGTGTTAATGTCTAACTTCAACCAATCCACGCAATTGCGCCACCGTACACCATTGTCTTCAGTGAGTTGTTATCTCACAACAAACCTGGTTGAACTCCACTGGTAACGGCTTCTCACTAGAACTCCAGGAGTTTATCCTGAAGTCAGTCACTAATGAGCAGTTGATTATTATCAGAATGGGTTTTGTGGAGAGTTTTAGAAATTTTCACAGGTTAAATGTGTACATATAGTCGTTTTAGAATTAGACTTCATAAAAGATGATAACTGTTACCTGTAAACTAACACTATACAAATATCATTATGAAGTTGAACTCATTTATCAAGTATGGATTAATGTATTTGACTTTGAGTTATATACTATTTGTAAAGATGAATATAAAACTACCTCCCTGTAATTCAAACAGAGATAGTTAGATTGAATTTTGAATCTAACACCTAGTGATTGGAATTCGATTAATTTAAACTGTTGGATCATTGATCAAAAGTGGATTGTCATCAACATTAGTAAAGGGACAAATACAAGTCACTTTAGTACTTTCAATATAGAATTATTGTCAATAGGATGTTGTGGAGATTATTATGTTTTTGATTAAAATCATAAACTGATTGATATTAGATCACTATTAAAAAACCTGTAAGCACTAGATGGTTGTTTCATCTTATTGTAGAACTTACCAGCAGTAAGCATTCATGATCCCGCTAGCGGAATTCAAACCCAGGATTGTCGGCCTCGTGAGCGAACACTTGATTGGCTTTTGTTAAATATGTAATTTCAATGGTTAAGATCATGAGTTAGTTGAAGCTAGACCACTGTGGAAAACCTGGAAGGACTGGACGGCCGTTTTGTCTTATTGTGGGGCTCCTAAGCAGTGGGCATCCACGACCTCGCCCCCAATTGACAAGTCCCAACTAGGACGAAACGCACGTTCTGGATCCCACTGCTAGTCACTATCCATCTTTGCTTACATTAGAATTATTGATTAGAATAATCTCTTAAACAAAATGTGACAACACTTCAGTATTTTGCGTACATAGTGATAAATTTATGCAGACATAGTAATTTTGAGATGGTGAAGAAGATTTGTAGCTTAGATGGATGATTTTGATGGTTTTTTATCCTCTGAGCTGGATGTTTCGATCGTGAAGCTTTCATCGTTCTTCCGAACGACATCATCAGTATAAACTTCAGGTAGAAGCGAAGTGTCGTTCAAAAGAAGAACGATGAATGTTCAACGACTAAACCATCCACCTTAGAGAGCAAAACTCCATCAAAAACACATTATAATATACAATAGTCAAGTAATTTTAAATGTTTGCATCTAGACTATTCAATCTATTCATTAAGTTATATATTGAGTAATAACTTATGTTTAAAATAATCCTTCTTCATAAGCATATAATATTCAGTCATCTAAATCTCTGAAGATTGACATCGAATCAGAGTATCAAGATCAAGGTTGATTGTCTCAGAATTGCTGCCTAGTTGATGAACCATTTAAAAAATAATTAATGAGTTCATTTCTCATAGATACAATACATATAATGTGTTTTTTTATCTACTTTAACATAGAAAATTCGAAATGCATATCAGAAGGGTTTATGTGGATATTAGACTAATTTCAATGGTTGAGATCATGAATCGATTGAAGCTAGACCACCATCGAAATTCTGGAAGTACTGGACGGCTGTTTCATCTTATTGTGGGACTCCTCAACAGTACTCATCCATGATCCCGCCTCGCGAAATTCAAACACAGGACCTATTAGTCTCGTGCGTGAGCGTCTAACCACTAGACCACTGAGACGGCTGACCGGCCGGCATCCAACTCTGTTAATGTCTAACTTCAACCAATCCACGAAATTGAGCGACACATGCACATTTGAAATGCATAGATTTATGTGGTTTGAATAAAGTTTCTAACATAAAAGCCATCAACTAATTGTTTCAACCTAATTCATGAATCTTCATCAGTATATACTCATAACTCAACAGTACTGAATGGGTTCATTGACAGTCAACATATCTCATCTTAACTGGATTAAAATTCACCAGATCTTATTCATTACTTCAATGAAATTCTAACAAAGTGTAATAATATTGGAAATTTACACAAATCATTATTATATATATATATATATATATATATATATATATATATATATATATATATATATATATATATATATATATATCCGGGGGCTACCACCGGCCCCAAGCCCGGATAAGGGAGGAGGGTTGGGCATGGGGTTAGCGACTCCATCGCGTAAAAAAACGCTAACCAGAAAAAAATTATTCAAATATGAACGAAACATCTAACTTACACTTGGAATATTTTCTGTTGTACATATTCCTTCTTGTAATAAACGATCTCGTATTTCCCATGCAAATATTGATGGACATTCTCTTTTATAATGTGCTATTTTTAATACAACTAAATTTGTAGCTACTCTTGGTTTACTACCACCAATTGCTTTTGGTCTAATTGAACCAGTTTCATAATAACGACATAAAATTTTTGATACACAACCATTAGATACTTGTAATATACGTGATATATCACATGGACGTGCACCTGAATGTGCTAATTCAATAATACGTTGACGTGTTGTATCTGGTAATGGTCGACCATTAACAAACATTCCACCTAATTGATTTACACCTGAATGTCCTTTATAAAGTAAATGCAACACAGAAATAATAATCAAAATATGAATAATATTGAAAATAAATAGATATTCTTGAATCTATTGCTACTTTATCAATGTTCTATGTTTGTTTGTTTGACCGTCTGATCACAGTGCACTGAAGTCATTACATGTATTATTAGTTGAAGAAATTCTCTTTACCTATATCTTGAAGAATTACGTATTAACAAATTCTATCATTTCATCACTGAATAAGTCAGTTGATACATGAGTAGTTCAATGATAACTTTTTAAGACTATAGAACTATATGTCATGAGTTTTAATCCCATATACAGAGTTAGTTCCTTCAAGATTACCCACATACACCTTACTAAAAAGTTCAAGTTAACATGAAAACTAAGTCATAGAGGAATTCTTGTAGACTAATTCCAACCATTTAACAATGAAAAATTCTTCAGATTCATTTTGATGACAGTGATATAAATTTCAGATGGTGGTCGGAGGTAGTTAACAGGAAAACTTGAAGGCACTGGACAGTCGTTTCGTTGTAGTATTGGACTCCTCAGCGGTGGACATCTACGACATCGTACTCAGAGTTCGAACCCAGGATTTTCGGTCTCACGCGCGAATATTCAACCTCTAGACTACTTAACCGGCATTCAGTGGTGTTATAGTCTAAAAAATTACTCCACTATCAACCATTGTCTTCAGTGAGTCACTGTCTCACAACAGACACGGATGAACTCTACTGCTCATGGTTTCTTACTAGGACAAAACGACCGTCCAATGCTTCCAGGTTTTCCATGGTGGTCTAGCTTTAATCGATTCATGAATTCAACTATTAAATTTGTTTTATGATGTAATAAAACTTGATGTACACAATAGATATTACAATCAGAGTCAAACATTTCTATAAGATGATTGAAATTTGGTAATATTAACAGTATTTATAAATATATTATTGATCAGGTTGTTGAGCTCATTCATTCAGTCAGTAATAACCTAGAACTTCGTATGTACATACATCAGTTCCAGTTGCCATACTACATTAGCACACAGATACAATTGTCGATCCAAATCTCATAGTGGTAGAGATAGTTAAAGTATAAGCCCGTAATCAGAAAGATTAGGGTTTGAAGATGTTATTCAACGAGTATAGTTCAGTGAAATAAATTTGGAAAGAGGAAACGAAAAGGGACAAAGAATTTGGAAGATTAGAATTTGGGAGAATACCAAGAGCGGATTCACCTGCACCATTTCAATTTATTGCACTGTGAGTGCATAAAATTTACTCCACTTATTATCTTATAAATAGATCACAATACTTTCACTATTCAATATAAAATATATATTTATAGAAAGCAATCAAAACTACTTAATTCTTGATGAGTAGTGACTTACCTCTTTTAAGTTTTTGTCTACAATTATCTTCATTGCTATCTATGGATGAATTATCCATATTCAAAGTGTTTAGTCCTACAATACAATAAAGGTAAAGTAATAATAATGATAATAATAATGAACGTAAATGAGTGCATAATTCTATCAAGCACACATAACTAGTTAGCTTAAATAAATATTAACTATTCTATTTGATGTGTTGGCAACGATTGTAAGGATATGCATTTCGTCCTCATGAGGACTCGTTAGCTGTTTTATCTGTATCCTAGTGTTGATATTCACATTGGAAATAGATTCCTCTGATAGCCTTATTCTAAATGGAATGTAACTTGTGATTAAAGAATATATCGTAGGAACTCATTCATGAAGTACAAATGTAAACATGAACTAGACAACTGTGGTCTTAAATATTAACACTAAAGAGTCGAAAAAGAAAAATTCATTTTAATATTTACACAGTTAGAAAATAGAAATGCAAGTAGTTGCTATTCAACTTATTCAACTGGTCTAACAAATAATTGGTCTATTAAGCTTTCTTTTTGTGCGTGTGTGTGTGTGTGTGTGGCTTCTTCAGCTAATATCAGTCTTTGGATTAGATCACCTTGTTATAAATTATCTACAATCGATTGTATTAATGAATAGTTAACAAAAACTTTTGGATACTCGTCAAACTGAATCTTGTATTGTTCAGTGAAGTTTTATCAGTTGTTGAACATTAAAAAAAAAGGAATTTTTCTTCCAAGAAAAATCATTTTCACAAATCAGAAGAGGTTTTGTAGAGATTGTAGTAATTTCAATGGTTGAGATCATGAGTCAATTGAAGCTAGACCATCATGGAAAACCTGGAAGCAGTAGACGGATGTTTCGTCCTATTGTCACAAATGGTTATTCAACAAATAACCTGTGTCAATGAGTATCTTCAAAGAGTCTCATTATATATATATATAAGTATGAGAAAATAACTGTCCAATATCTTCGAATATTCAAATTAGTGTAGATTGGACATTTCGGTCATAAACACTTATAGATGCTTCGAAAGTTTTATTAAAGGGTTATCAGAGTTTATCAGCTTTGGATTCATTTCAACAAGACTATAATTTATGTATGAAACAATCAGATTTAGGATAACAGGTCTTAGGGTTTTGGTGTGAAATTCACTCACCCATGTGGTCAAATAGCGTTTTAGCATTATAGCTGATATCAGTTCGTGATGAAAAACCACAAACCTAATTACTAACCTTAGCCATCATCTGTAAATCATAATCCTTATTCTTCACACCGCTTTATAACCTTCATTTAGCCTTAGTCAGTAGGTAGACACTTCCAAAGTCACTTTGATGTCGCTCAAAGGTCGTCCATAAATTGTAGTCTCATCATCATTTCGAGTTCCAAAAAAATGATCTAATTAACAAAAATCAAATCGCCTGAAGTATTTCCTCTGTTCATAATGATCTTTGTTATGTTGAAATCAACTCATTTTATGATCTAGAAAATTTCTTATGCTTCATTGTAGCCTCTTATTAATATTAGTTAGATTAATAGAATTTATGCTATACTTTTTGATGGAGTTTTGTATACTAATCTGAATGGAGCTTTCACAGTTCTTCTGAATGATATGATCAGTATAAACTTCAGATAGACATTGTTCAAAAGAAGAACGATGAATGCTCCACAACTAAATTATTCACCTAAACTATAAATCTTCTCTTAAAAATTTTTGTTTTATCAATGTTTATTAATTGTCAGTATCTTTAAGGAAGGAAATACAGTTGAATTTGGGTTGCTCAGTGTTTGACATTTGTAGTCAGGGTGGGGTGGCATTTTAAAAATATCCCGTGAGTACATACATTGAATAAGAAAATAAGTAACGGAAACATTTGAGTAGGTCGTCATTTCAATATAGAGGGGGGGGATTAGATAATCTTTATTAATTCAGTAAAAATCAATATTTTATTATTTTAAGAAGTAGCATACCGAAACGCAATTAGTTATTGAATTGAATATACAATCCCTAATTTTGAAAAAAACGATCACAGTTTATTGAATTTGGATTGGTTGAAGTTAGACATTGATACTATTAGATGAAGTGTCAGTGGTCTAGAGATTAAGCGTTAATGCTCGGGACCGAAGGTCTTGGGTTCGAATCCTACGTGCGAGATCGTGGGCGCTTATTACTAAGGAGTCCCATACTAAAACAAAACGATCAACCACTGCTTTCAGGTTTCCCATGGTGGTCTAACTTTAATTAACTCATGAATTTAACTATTAAATTTGGTAGTGTACACCACTAGTCTTGAGTTCTACCCACAGTACAACCGTCAGGACATATATTTTCCAGTAGATTAAAACGACGATGAAATACATCTGTAGTATGTGGTGATTTTTTAATGGTACCTAAATTATTATCGATTTGTAATGATGAACATCAACTACTAAACAAATTAACAAATTGATTACGTAACACTTCTTGATATAATAATTATTTAATTCAGTAGAACAATTACAAATGAACGAGTAACATTACAAGGAACTATAATCACCGAGAAAAAAGTATTAGATAATTACCAAGATCTATTGAATGACTTTTGATCTTTATTAACTTTCCTGATAACTCTTTTTCTTATTGTTTAATTTCCCTCGATCTAATTCTTTCCTATTGATTGGGATCTATTTACTACTTAGTTGATATACAGGATTTCATCATGAGGCGTCATAGATCTTCTAAATGAAGACCTTCTGACTTCCAGGGTAGAGTTTAAAAGGTTTGAATAATTTTTTTCTGGTTAGCGTTTTTTTAGCGAGTTAGTTTTCTACGGGATGGGGACGTTAACCCCATGCCCAACCCTCCTCCTTTATCCGGGCTGGTCGGCGGCGTATGCTCCATTGGGAGTAACAGGCGTAAGTAAGTAAGTAAGTAAGTAAGTAAGTGATATACAGGCCATTTCAAGGGAATTAGAAATTGATAATCGTGTAATTAACATCAATTTTTAGAAAAAAAATTGGCCGTTGCATATACACCTTCCCTAGAGATACTCTTATATGTATTTTTAGTTGTTTTCTTCTTTTATAATTATCTTTCTTTGTTGTTTATTTGGATAATATTTCTCTATAAGTATGTCAATGGATGCTTTTGTATATTGTTATCAGGTTTGCTTATGTGAACTATAGTGACATCTTGTAGGATCTAATTGTTAATAACTTATGTACTACTGAGTGATTGAAGTCTATCAACCAAGCTATAGTATAGTCACTAATGACTTGACATCGTGTGAACTATAGTTATTATGTTAGTTGATTAGAGTCAGTCAGTAGGTCATTCTAAACTTAGATGCATCTGTGAGATTCGACTTGTGAAAATTACAAGTCCGCACTGATAATGATGATGATTATTATTACCAGTCAATATGAAACTTAGAACTGCAGAATTATTGATTAATCAAGTGATGGTAGACTGGGAAAAAAAAAACCTGACTACACTACTTGAACAAGCTAACTATTTATTAGAATAGTCATTTAGGTACAATGTAAGATCACGTACATTTAGCAGAATAATCTGATGAAGAGAAAAATTCAAAACAATCATAAGTGACTTCTTTATAACTAGTGATTAGAACTAATCGATATGAAGTCATTTATGTAGTTGGGACCCTTTAAGAACTAATCCTTTCCTTTTGAATGCAAAGTCATGTTATCTAGTTGACATCGGTTAGTCATGCAGCTTTTAGAATAAGACATGAATAACGTTGATTACTAATTCGTGGTCAATCAAGACAATTAGCCAAGGATGTTGAAATGTTCAATATTATGATTAAATAAGATATGTATTAGAGGATGGGGTAAAAATGATGAATTTGTTGTTTATTTCTGTGATTTATACTAAATCCAAACTACTTCTGGAACCGTCTGTTATCTTTTCTCTTGGTACTGATTTAATTCTCACATATATACCAAGTAACCATGACAAAGAAAATTGCGAGGAGGTGGGAAATGATGCAAGATAAGTCTATTTAAACTGAAAGATTTCATTAAGTGTTGCCAACCTATATTCAGTTGTTATTATTTATTTAAACATATAATTATTGGTACAAGGAGGGACCAAATGGATATACGCTACATAAATCGAGTGATTTGTACAAGGGTTGGAATACTTTACGGGTGGCCGAAACAAAGTAAGTGATTTTCTTAGTGGGCCACACACAGCCTTTGATCTAAAAGTCTAATCCATAAGACAGTAAGGCAACGTTAGAAGACTCATTTCGAAGATAGGTGGTGAGCAACAATAGGTTCATACGTCTTTTGTTCCCTTAGGATTCTGGAGACTATATGCACCAGTGGTTTGCAATCAGGGTTTTTCAACCCCCTTAATTGGATCCTCCATAGCTGCTACCAACTCGGTTAACGCTTTGAATATTCGCTTTCCATCCTCTCAGTTTCGTGAACAACATTCGAAGCGCGAGAAGGCAGTGAGTAGGTCTTCCCTGGCCATGCTTGTATGCACATGGCCATGTGAGAGCATATCATATCGAAGATTGGTGCACCAATCTTCGTTCTTACTCTGTTTAAGATAATAAAAGCAACCATGTGTATGAACTAACTATATTTATTAAAAACCACTAAACTGAACATCATAAAATAAATTAATCTTAACTGATTTTTGAGTATATGTGTATGATGAAAATACTAATAGTTTATATAAGAAGGGTTTTTGTGGACATGATAGTAATTTCAATATTTGAGATCATGAATCCATTGAAGCTAGACCAATATGGAAAATCTGGAAGTACTGGATAGCTGTTTCAGCCTATTGTGAAACTCCTCAGTAGTGTACAACTACGATCCCTTGATTTGAATCTCTCGAGGCGGGATGGTGGATACCAATTGCTGAGAAGTCATACAATAGGACGAAACAACTGTCCAATGTTTCTAAGTTTTCCATAGTGATCTAACATCAATCGGTTTATGATCTTAACAATTAATCAAAACTAAATAAATTACATACCTGATTTCATTTTCATTTTATAGAAATTACTAATTCTTTTAAATATGATTATCCGTAATGATTGAATACAAAGTTTACAAATTACAACATTGAATAAACATATATGCATCCATATAAATAAGTAAGTATGCAGGTATGTACGTAGAAAGTCTCTTCAATTGTTCACTCAATATATTTACAATCAAGATTAACAATAAATGATTGAATAGTCCCAAATATTGAAATAATGATTAGTCTTTTATTCAAATGTATCCTGTGTATTAAAAAGAATCTAAAAGAAGGATATCGAAGAACGTTCAGATCCAATAATCTCAAAAAAAATGAATTGAAGTAAATAGAAATCAATTAAAATGTATAGAATGATTCCAATTTCTTCTTCATGTTCAACATCATTATCAACGTCTTTTTGTTGTTCTTCATTTCCATGTTATCCATTGAAGAAAGAAACAAAAAACAACAACAGGAACAATTTATCATTGAATTTATTCTCAGCTTAAAAAAAAAGAAAACTGATCACAATAAGTAGAATTACAAAATAAGGTATCACAATAATTTATCAGCCAATCATCATCATCATCATCTTCATCATCACCATCACCATTTAAAAGATTTACAACGATTCCCATTTACTTATCAAACACCAACCTACATACGCATGTAAATACACACACACACACACACGCACACACACATACCGATTCACTCACCCACACACATTTTTGTGTTGAAAATGAAATTATATTCCTTTTCTTCTTTTCAGTAAAAAAAATTCCTTACTCAGTTTTTTTTTAAAAAATTTTTCTTTTTCTTTCTTTTTTTTTTACTGCTCCTTCAAGCAAATTGAACTAGTTTATCTGAAACTATGCGTGCGTGTGCGCGTGTATGTGTGTGCTTGTGTGTGTGTGTGTGTGAATGTTTGTTTATTTGTTTGTGGTTATGTTATGTTGTGTTGTGTTGTGTTTTTTCTTTCTTTCTCTTGAATAATCATCATCATAGCTATGTCCAGTATAAATATTCCTTGTGAAAAATTTATGTAAAGAAAAAGAAGAAAAAGAAAAATGTTTTCCAAAAAAGATAATCTAATTCCGATTGGTTAATTGCTGCGTTGAAAAAAAGGGAAACATCTATCTAAACGAATATTGTATAAACCAATAATTAACAGAAAGAGATAGAGAGAGAGAAAATATTTATGTATATGCCTAAAGGGAGATAAAATAGGGGGGCGGTGAGAGATTGTATCATGTTGACTATAACAATCAACCTATGTGTTGATAGATATAGAAAGATGGAGCCTGTTCCGTCGATCTACCTACCTACCTGCCTACCTACCTACCTACCTACCTACCTACCTATCTATCTATCTATCTATCTATCTATCTATCTATCTATCTACCCATCTACCTACCTATCCACACATCTATCTATCTATCTATCTATCTATCTATCTATCTATCTATCTATCTATCTATCTATCTATCTATCTATCTATCTATCTATCTATCTTCTATCTATCTATACTACTACTATCTCTATCTATCTATCTATCTACCTATCTACCTACCTATCTACCTATCTACCTATCTACCTACCTACCTATCTACCTACCTACTTACCTATCTACTTACCTATCTACCTACCTGTCTATCTATCTATCCATCAAGGTATCGGTATTTCTTCCCATCTTAACCCATTCAACACTTATCCTGATATCTTTAATATAGTTTTATCCAATTGTTGGTCATTTATTGAAGAATACAATAGTTCCATAATTATATTTACCTAGAATAGAAACTTTTTTGTGTGATGACAATTTCTGTTGATATAACATATATAGTAATATTTGTAAGTAAAAAAAATATCACTAAAAAGTTATTTCATGCGTAAATAATTCAATAAAACCATGCAATACTACTAATTTGAATGAAAAATAGTCTGACCCATAACTTATAGACATTTAGTTCATTTCATGTCATGACTGTTATTATGATGATTACTTCTACGAATAATAATAGTAGTAGTTTTTATGTTCAAATCTGTACAATCTTTACAGGAAACTTAAATGATTCATTCTAGTATCCTACTTAAATTGATAATTAAGTAATATTAGATAGAGTTTGTTTTGTTTTTAAAGCTCAAACATAAGATTTGAATTCTTTACATTCTTACGCTTTTTACTCTTCGTGGAGCAGCACAGGCCTTCTTGATGATGGTTGTAATAGTTCTCCAAGATCTGAGTAGTTTTGAATAAATATATTTGGATATTTTTATTAATGAGTTGAAAATATGTTATTATCAATGGATATTTGCTGTGTTGCTGACTTCATTTATTGATCATATGCTAAATGACATATGATAAATTTGTATTGAGAAAGCTTATAGACATTGATGAAGTTTTGTTCTTTGAGCTGCATGGTTTAATCGTCGAGGTTTCATAGTTATTCTGAACGATATCATTAGCATAAACTTTAGGTAGAAATGAAGTATCGTTCAGAATAGTGATGAAAGCTCCACAATCAAACCATCCAGTTCAGAGAAAAAAAACATCATAAAAATCATCCACCTAAGCTACAAATCTTCCCTACTATCTCAAAGCCTTCAGAGACTGGACAATTTATGCATTAAAATGTATATATTTTCACTTCAGATCGAGCAGTCAGGCTTTTCTAGTCATAAGTAATTGTAATTTCACATCAGAAGGGGTTCCTATGGATAGCTGGACTACCATGGAAAACTTGGAAGCACTGGACGGCCGTTTCGTCCTATTGTTCGACTCCTCAGAACTGCTCATCCACCATCCCGCTTAGAGAGACTCAAACCCAGGATGCATCAGTCTTGCGCGAGCACTTGAACGCTGAATCGGCCGATATCAAACGGTGTTAATGTCTAACTTCAACTAATCCACGACATTGAGCGACACATCCATCATTGTTTTCAATGAGTTACTATCTCACAATAGACCAGGTTGAACTCTACTGTAATTTAATGATCCGAGTTCGGTCAGTTAGTGGTAAACCAATGACGAAATAACTTTCCAGTATATGATTATTGTCGTATACAATATATGTATTGTATTATTTAAGAAGATCGTTTGACGATCAGTTGGAGAACAATTAAGAATTAAAAAGTACTTCTTGGTAGACAAATGTGGACAGATGTTAATAAGTGAAAATCTGTTTTACGTACTACAGTTACTTCTAATCGATAAAGTAAGCTGAACTGGAGGACTTTATGAAACATGAAGAGTATTAGTTTTTTCTGAGGAAATTAAGGAATTCCAAGCAACAATCTTTACAACTCTTTACTGATAGTTATCATATGATAACTAATGACTAATTTTGAGAGGAAATCTCGGGAGTTTTAGTGAGAATTCATGACTAGTGGATTTCAACCTAGTCGGTTGTGAGGAAAGTACTCACTGGAGATAATGAAGGAGGACCTCACAATATCTTGGATTGATCAAAGTTAGGTTTGTACATCATTGGATGTCCGTTCTGTAGCCTAAAATTTAAGCACTTGCGCGCAAGACCAATAGTTATGTATTCGGTTTCCGGATATGAGGTTATGGTTGCACACTGATGAGAGGTTCCCTATTAGAGCGAAATAACCATTCAGTGCTGTCAAGTTTTCGGTGGTCGTTTTACTTAGATCAGTTTGTGACTTCAATGAGATTTCAGGAGAATGACTAATTTGAGTAAGATTGATCTGATTTTTTCCACATAATATGACATTTACTATAGTCACTAATCTATCACAATTTAATTATATCATATATATTAGAAATGTAGACATATGACAATGATTGATCATTAAGTAGTGACTAATGTCATTTATATCTAATCCTTTTGTGTTGATTCAGTTTCTATCAATGATGTTGAAATGGGACTACTAGTTGAAATAAACTGACATCTCAAGCTCTATGTTCATGGTAGCTGACAACTTTGTTTGTTCACTTGGTCAAAATGACAACTAGTTGATTAGTGGAATATATTTTTTTTCATAATTATATTACTAAGACTGAACTTATTTAATTTACTTACTTGAATCAGACCAAGTGAGATAATGTTCGAATATGTGATTAAGGGGTTGAAAGTCACATACCTTAGTTACTAAGTTACCTCTTCGCCCAATCGTGATAAATCTACTTACTTTACTTACGCCTATTATCCCTAGTGGAGGAACATAGGCCGCCTACTTCGTTAATTAGATTGTTAATACATTTTGTGAATAAACTTTTGTTTAATAAAAATAGATCATGGATTATAGACAATTGTTTTTAATAAGAAATGTGTCCGAATCTCACGAGGCGAGATCATGAACGTATACTACTGATGAGTCCCACAATAGGATGAAATGGCCGTCCAGTACTTCCAGGTTTTCCATGGTAGTCTAGATTCAATTAACTCATGATCTAAACTATTGAAATTACTATAATATCTACAAAACCCCCTTCTGATATCAAGAATATCTCTTTTAAATATATTCAATAGAAATAACTTAATTATACTTATATCAATTTCAGTATTTTGGCAAAATGGTAAGAGCTAGTGTATGAAATGAACATATTGGTAACAAATTTACATTAATGTCACAGTATTCACTCACTCACTCACTCACTCACTTACTCACTCACTCACTCACTCACTCACTCACTTACTCACTCACTCACTTACTCACTTACTCACTCACTCACTCACTCACTCACTCACTCACTCACTCACCACTCACTCACTCACTCACTCACTCACTTACTCACTCACTCACTCACTCACTCACTCACTTACTCACTCACTCACTTACTCACTTACTCACTTACTCACTTACTCACTTACTCACTTACTCACTTACTCACTTACTCACTTACTCACTTACTCACTTACTCACTTACTCACTTACTCACTTACTCACTTACTCACTTACTTACTCACTCACTAAATAGATGGAAAAACGACTGAAATCGCTGATCACTACACCCTTAATGAAGATTGAAAAAAACCGAGGATAATCTTCATTCCTGATGGTGACATAATTTTTTTTCTAAAGAAATATCAACTTTATGTAATCTTTTTGGTTACTTTATTCACTCAATAACAATGAGGAACTAGTCACCCA